GCTTCAATATTAGCAGCTACAAAACCATATTGATAATGTATATAATAACTCCTTGTTTTGTAGAATACTTGGAATGCATTTTCCAAGTAACTGAAACCTAATTCTGCATTAAAACTGTAAATTTCCTTTTTGTTTTAGTTGAAAATATTTTAAAAATGCGTTTCATGTATTTCTTTTTCTTCTTAATTCCACAAAGTGAAAATGGAATGGAGCCCGGGGGCTCTGTGGGGAGGATGTTGTACTTTAATCCCTGGATTTTCAATTGCTGTGTGTTTTTAAAAATTAGACCCCAAAGTGATTCTAAGAGTCTCAAGACTAATACCAAATTTGTTTCAATCTGTATCATTTTCATACCCACAAATTCCTTGCAATTATAGGAGGGTAGGAATTAATTGGTCCATTTAACAAATCATTACTTGGTGTCTGCTCTGGTCTAGGGACTGCTCTAGATGCCATATAAGTTAACAGGATACAAAATGGACCCAAAAAGTTCCTGTTCTCATGCAGTTTTCTATCTGATTGAAGATAACACTCAGGCAATAAACAAAAGTAAGTTTTATGGCATATAAAAGGTTATAGTGGCAAGGGGAGGATTATACCTTTAAATAGATAGGCAAACCCTCATGCGTTTGGGGCCATTTGACCATAGACTTGGAGAAAATAGGGGAGCTAACCATGTAGAGTTATGTGGGAAGAACATGCAAAGCAGCAGAAATAATAGCTATAAAGCCCCTAAGTACCTGCAATTAAGGAGCAGCAATGGGATAGAGAGACTTGATAAATAAGAGGAAAGGAAGGCCGAAGGCCAGAAAGAGTTTGGAGTTAATAGCAGAACCTCTTCAGGACCTTAGTTTATCTTCTACAAAGTAGGTGTTTTGAGCAGCTAAGTAACTTGCATTTTCAAAAGTTCTTGAAATGTTTAAAAGTAAACTCTAGGAGGACAGGGGGATAATAGTGCTCAGTATTGCAATCCAAGTAGGTAATAATGGTGGTGACTAGAGAAGTACACAAGTTCTGAATATATTTTGAAAGTAGAGTGCAAGAGTGCTGATTCAGGACCTAAATGATTAAGACTGGAATTATGATAAACAGAGATGGGGATGACTTGTGTAGAATAGGTTTGAAGATGGAGTTTGTTCATATGGGAGAGTTGCTGAAATGTCTATTAGACACCAAAGTGGCAATGTCAACTAACTCATTCAATGCTGCTGGCAGTACGTACCTATGAGTAAAGAGTCAAACTTTTGGATCTCTAACTGATGCCATATCAATCTGAGGCTGAACATACATCTAGTTGTAAAAATTAAACAAAAACTTTTAGAAAGCAAAGAATATCTGCACCACCCTGAAATAGAAAAAAAAAAAAGGGCAAATAAAAGCATAAAGTAACCAATAAGCAACTGACAGTGTACTCAACATCACTAGTTATTTAAAAAAAAAAATAAAAAATAAAACATGAAATACTACTTCAAATATTAGAATGGGTAAAATTAAACTAGATTTCATAAAATCAGATATTGGGAAAACAAGTCATAACATCAACTCTCATAACATCAACTCTCATACCTTCCTATATCAGAATGGTACAAGCACTATAGAAAATCATAATGGCAAATTAAGTTCAACACACATCTGCACTTTGACCTAGAACTTACACTCTGACATTTACCCAAGAGAAATAAGACATAAAACATGTAAAAAAAACAAAAACAAAAACCATGATAAGCACATTCATAGGAGCTTTATTAATGATACTCAAAATCTAGCAACAGCCCAAATGTGCACCAGCATATGAATGGATAAGACAATGGTGACATAGTGGGCCCTTTGTATGCATGTGTTCTGCATCCATAGATTCAGCCATGGATGGAAAACCCATGCTATGTAGTTAGGCCAAAAATGGTTGGCCTGAACATCTGTACTGAACATGTATAGACTTTTTTTTTGTCCTTGACATTATTTTCTAAACAATCTAGAATAACAACTATGTGTATAGTTATCTAAAGATAACTTAGTCTATAGGAGTATGCATGTAATGCAAATATGTCATTTTACATACAGTGAAATACTACTCAATGATAAACAGGAACAAGCTATTAACACATGCAATTACATGAGTATCTATCAGAAATACCTTGCTGACTAAGATAAGCCAGATCCCCCCAAAATTATATACAGGTAGAATATGATGTCATTTATAGGAATTACAAAATTGGATCTACAGATGTTAGAAAATCGGAAGAATGCCTAGTCCGGTAGTGTTGACTGAAAAGGGCATAAGGGAATTTTCTGAGTTGGCAAGAAAGGTTCTCTGTCTTGATTTGAATGTTGGTTGTGTAGATATATATTCGTCAAACTCATCAAACTGACCTATTTGATTTCTAGAATGAAAGCTATTTTATTTTAAAATAGAATTATAAAACTGGATGTAGTTAGCTTCCTTCTCTTCACACAACAGTTGAACTCAGTTTTCTCAGATTATCACAAAATTTTCCTGCAAGTAATAAAAATTGAACAAGGCAAATGTGAACCTCCTAATTCCTACTGTTCTTAGGCCTTGCATTAGGGGAGAGAATGAGGAAAAAAAAATAGAAAAGGTAGAATAGTTGTTATGGATATGTCAAAGCTGACTTATTTATTCAGGATCCCAGCTATCCTAGTTGTACGCAAGGTTAAAATAACCTAGTGTAGGTAGTTAGGCATTCTGTGCTTTATGCAGAATTTGAATGTTCCCACCAGAGTTTTCCAAAGAGAAAAATAAACACTTGCCAAATAACTGATTTAACTGTTTTGTGAGCTGATTTGAATATTTATTCCATTTCATTTCTTCTAAACTCAGATCATAAGCAGGGACTGAAATCTATTACCTAACATGCAGCTGGCAGAACAGTATCTGAATTTTCTCCATATTTCACCATGACCCAATTCAGTGCAAGAGACTCACTGAGTCTATGAATATGTGAATATTTATTTTTAAAACCTGAGTTCTTTATGACTACCTACCACTTACCACTCAAAAATTTAGATTTTTGAAGATTTTTTTATGTATATAGCTAATTTCAAATTACAAGTTTTCATGACTACTTCTTGTGTGTTCAACATCTTTCTAGTCATGCTTTGCTAATTATAACCATTCCTTCATGTGTTCGTGCTCCCTTTGAGAACCTTGAAGTTCTTATAATTTGTTAAGGGCCAGGATACAAGAAACCCATTCCAGTATTAAAATAATTATGTGTGAAATAAGTGAATACACAATAGCTAGAATTAGAATAGTTCTGATTTTTAAAAAATGTATTGATGAAAAACCATAGAAAGTACAGATATCAGAAACTAGAATACTTAAAATAGAATAAGATTAGCCACCAAATGGGTTAGTTAAAAAACCAATGTTGGGGCAAAATAATATATTTTATTTTATATAAAACTTCAAAAAGTAATTCCAATTTTAATAAGGTTTTCAAAGTGCAAAGAGCCTCTATAAAATAGATAACATAGGTGAATATTAATATATTCTTGAATGGGGATATACTTTCTATCATGCTCAAGGCAGAAATAAAAGGGTTGATTTTACTACATTAAGCTATAACAACTATACATATAAAGAATGAATAAAATTATAAACCAATTAACAGAGAAAAAAATAACTTCATTTATCACAGTCTAAGAATGAATAGATTTAGTATATAAAGAGTTTCTACAAACCAATTTGAATACCACTCAAGTACAAAATGGGCAAAGAACATGCAAAAGCAATTCATGAAGGGAATGTGTCTGCAAAAATAAAGTATTTTGTGGGACTCTTTTAAATAAAGAGGGACTTTATTTAGACATGGGCTTTATGATTGTCATTTGGACAGATTTATATTCTTAGCCCCTCTCCTTGGCTCCTGAAAAGTATAATTTGACAGTTAAATAATCAAAAATCAAATTGTTTTCATGGATGAAACAATATTCTTCCTCCCATTGAGCAAGACTACACTTAACAAGACAAGTGGCCTGGTCTTAGAATGTTAAATAATCAAAAATCAAATTGTTTTCATGGATGAAACAATATTCTTCCTCCCATTGAGCAAGACTACACTTAACAAGACAAGTGGCCTGGTCTTAGAATGTAGACTATGAACATGGAATAGGAAAAGGGTCTTGGCTTCTACAATATGGAATCTACGGCTTTCTCTCCTGTTACATAGTTGTCCTAAATGCCTCAATAAACAACCATAGATGCCAAACATTGTTTATCATCTCTTTGATGCAGTGATCAACTGTGTAGAGACAGTCCAGCGGAATGGTCCAAGAGAAGGACATAGACTATTCAAGAGTCATGGCTACCTCCCTGAGTATCCTGGCTCACAATTTATGATCTGTGTCCTTGACCTTCCTGAGCCTTACCTTCCCAAGTGTAAAACAATTACAGTGTACCTATTGTATAAAGGTGTTATGACTATTTAATGAAATTATACCTGTGAAGAGTTAGCATTGTGACTGATACAAAGACACTAGCCAGTAATTGCTGACTATTGTCATCATTATAATCAGAGGCCCTTAATATTCCAACTTCTGAGTAAAAAACATGCTAAGATATCTAAGGATGATTTAGTTATGTAAACATTCCATGTACTACATGGGGAAAGTAGAGTGAAAGAGAAGACCTGCTCCTAGTGCTAGCTCTGGCTTTAATTTTGGAGCCCACATGACCACTTTAGGTCTCAGTTTTCTCATCTTTTAAACTACTTATTGCTATACCCCTTTCTGTCCAGGAATTTTCCCTAGAGAAATATAAGTCATAGTTTTCAAAGTGTAAACAGCTAAAACTATGACTCGGTAGCGCAGTATTTATGCCAAGACAAACAGAAGCACTAATTGATAAGTATTTTTACTTTTTGGATAACTGAGGTAACAAAAATATGTATGGCTTCATTTTTTCATCCCCTAACTACATAAGGTAACCAGAATTCCAATATAGCAAAAATAGTTGAGTTCACAGCGAACTGCAATCAACATCACAGACTAAGGGTATTATACTTCAGAGTATCCTCAATGAAACAGAAAAGAATTTCAAGTACCAGCTTCAAAATGGTAATTAATATCATTCTAAGAATGTATTCCTCCTCTTAAGATGCACCTCTGGAGCATAAACATGCTTATTATGCCTTGTATCTGTGTGGTCTCAACAAGCTGTCTCACAGAACTATGCTACAGTTCTATCATGGTAAACTTTCATTTCAGACTCACATTTGGGCCCTCCCTGGTGGTACAGCTAGTTAAAGCAAAGCACTAGAAGACTATCCACAACCACTGCAGCAAAAGTTTGATCCCTGGCCAGGGAGGTGACCCACATGGCACACTGCTCCTTTCTTACCCACTGCTCCCCTCAGCAGTGTACTTCAGTCAGTCTGCCTGTTCTGCCCCCTACTCTGTCTCTGGTGAAGCCTCTTATCATCTGCACCTCTGTACCCAAATTCTTGTATGCATAAATAAATAAATCTTTAAAAAAAAATTCACACTTACTGTGAGATGGGCTATTGGTATCCATAGAGTGCTACTCCCACAGGGCTTTGAAAGTACCCCCAATAGATCCTGGCCACAGGTTTATACTCATGTAAACTGCAGTTTATAGTCATGGAAACTTTGATGGAGAATGCTATCAGATTACTGTGAGTCTGCATTGCCTTTCAAGCACTGTATCTTAAAAGTTTTCTGTGTTTCACAACTTAACCTCAGATTGGATAGCATCCAGCTCCTGTTTGACCTAGAAAAGCAGGCAGGAAAAATCTACTCCTCAGAACTTTTTCCTCTTCAAAAAGTTTACACTTGAAATCCCAAGAGTATCAGATGAGTGTTAGTCTAGGGCACTATCATGACTGAGGCTTCCTAAGGCATTGTCTTCCTCACCAGCTTTTCAGTTCATCTTGTAGGGCACTAGATCTCACCAGAAGCAGCATGGCCAAGGCTAACAGCTACATCAGAGTAATCTCTAACTTTGAAATTATCTGATAAAAGGTGCTTTTTGAGTGTGCTGCAAAGCAAGGAGAGAGATTTAATGGTAAAAAGTTTGCAAGCCACTAGCCTGGGTGCTTGAATCGATGATGTCCCAGCCACTAATTGTTTCATAGGAAAGCCAAAGTGACTCTCATTTAGTCCACAAGGTATGTAACAGCAATAATAATGAAGAAACCCAATAGTGTCAGGCATTTATAGTGAGCCAAAAACTGGCCAAACCTCTTGATGTAGATTATCTCCCTCAATGTGTTTCATTCCACTTCACAAGTAAGAAAACTGAATAGCTATAATGGGACCTATTGCCACATAGCTAAATGACCCTCCACACTACAGGGGTTTTAAAAAGTTTGAAAACATGTGAAATTAAACTGTTTATTTCAGACAAAGCACTGACAATGTGCAAGCTACACATATGTGTGAGATCTTTGCACTCAAGTTCCAAATATTTAGAAGCTAACAGGAGTCAGTGAAACACATGAGTAACATACACTGGCATTTAGAAAAATTAACTGCATTACCCACTTAGGAATCATCACTGAAACATTTTTAGTTTACTCTTGATGTCTCCTTGCTTTTCAGCACCCTGTAGGCTTGTAAATTCACATAATTAGTATGAAAATACTAAAATAACATGAGTTTTAGTACTAGCCCAAGCAAAATGTAATTAAGGAAGTAAATCTACAACAGAAAGAAAATCACATAATGCTTTGCAATGTCCAAGAAAATGGCTTTTGGATTATCTGCTATTACAGTATATATCATTTATAGTCCTTTCTCTCCTACTCAGTCATTTTTTCATAATTATGGGGAACCTGCTAAATACACAGGATTTGGACCCCAAATTAAGGCAGATCAATGGAAACTGATGATGCTGAATTGATGTAGAACATCTGTTATCACCAATAACTTCCCATTTTCCTTCTAGAAGTTCTCCTGGAGGTGTCCTTTGATCTTTAAATAAAAGTGTAAAAGAGAAAAGTCAACATTGGCTACCTGTAGGACTGTGTCATTGGGCCACAGAGTTCTAGGTAGATTTATAGATAAATCTTTCACAGTCAGAAAGATTTAATATATATCTGAGTCTTATCCCCCCATGGGTATTGCCCTAATCTCCCCCAAACTACAGAGGTCACTTTGAAAGTACCTCAAAGTTTTGTCAAATGCCAGGATTACTTGCTGTTTCTTTGAAAATGACTTTCATGTGAAAATGGTGCTTCAGTAACATAAAAGTTAATCACCCCCTATCATTACTTGCATTGAACAGCAGGGTAAAAGGGAAATTAAACTACTCTTCATTTTTTTCCCTACAAAATTAATTCAAACTTCTTTCAATCTTCTTTACATTACATATAGTATAGAAATGGAAAATGACCCAATTCTCCCCTTCCCTCCTTTTCTAAAATAACAAGGTAAGACACAGTCTGTTATAAAACTTTCAAAGTCAGGAAGGAATTCCAGGGAGAGCTCTGTTTCTAAATATCAGCAGTCTATTGAGAAGGTCTGAAAATACAAGTTCAAGAGAGGTTAAGTCTCTAAGCAAATATGGACCTCATTGACATAGTCAACATGAAGCATCGAAGGCCTCATAAGAAGTCTGTTACCCTACATGTTTTCTTGGTAGGGTTCAGCAGATCCTTTATGTGCATTTTAATGAGGATTTCCAAACCCAAAATTTCCCCTCTATTCCAAACTGTGTTGTGGGCTGACCTGAATGTAAAATGGGAACCTTGTGTTTTACTAACTCCAGGGTGCTCAGCTTGAGCTCTATGAATAAAATATGACCCTGATCATTAAAATGTAATAAAAGCTAGTACTTTGAAACTTTAACCTAAACAAGCCTGCACACTAATCTTGGGGGCACACTTCAGCTGTTCTCTCAGCAGGGACTCCTCTGCAGAAAGCCCAGGCCTCATAGAAGCCACCAAAACCTGCTCATCTGAGACATGACAGCTAAACACAACCATTTCCACAGTGGGTCTCCTGGCGACTCTGGGTGTGCTGTCGTTAGCAGACTGCAGAGTCCCTCTACACTCCTGCTTCTCCCGGAAGGAACAGTGCAGAAGTCCAGCTCAGCTGGTAGAGCAGTTTAAGTTTGTAGTTGAATGTCCCTCAATTTTCTCTCCAACATTCTCATTTTAGGATATCAGAACAAGGTGACCTTTCAGCCAGCTCATTCTTCAAGGGGCGGATGAGCAGAAAGATTGGCTAGTGGATGCCAAAAAGAAGGTCCTCAAGTAAATAGCCTGGAAGCAGCATAGCTATGAATAAACTGTGCTCTTGGAAGTTCTTTTTTCACTGGTGCAAATGTAACCCACACAGCAGTCAGTGGGAGAGATCTCTAACTGCTGCTCCTGCTAAGAATTCCCAGAAAAAGTATTAACACCCAGAGAGCTATAAGGGCTGTTGATATACTGGGGTGAAAAGGTCAATTTCAGCTCCCACCCCAATATGGGAGTCCCTTTTTTTTTTGAGAATATATAGTGGAAGATTTCCCTCCTCCTACTTTAGCACAGAGAAAGCATAACTGCCTGACCAGAGGAATAGATGGTTCCTTGAAGAAAAAGGAAGTAGCAAATAAATAAAAATGCCCAAATACTCTCAGCTATTTTTCAGTGCTTAAATTTTATACTTACAGTGAATTGGGGCAGTCATGTAAAACAGTGGGTAGAAAGGGTTCAAAGAACAAATGCAAGGCCCCAAACATCCTAGTGCCAGGGAGGAGTGACTATCAAGTGAGGGGCTATGATTTCTACAGAAATTCTGGTCACTGTCAGTTTTACTGATGATACGAGGCTAGCCGCAGAAAGGGTAACTGCACAAAACAAAACACACACATCAGTGGAAGCCTAAGTTTGGCTTTTGAAGCACCAAAGCTTTGATCTAACTCTCAATGTACCGCTTCTCAGATCTAGAACTCTGCTGGGTAAATTTCTGATTAAGGGATTTGCTCAATAGCTTGAATCTTTTAAGGAGACAAATCATCAGATAAAGTGGGGTTGGGGAACTATTTAAATATAACACTGTCCAAATTCAGTGCTCGACTGAAGTATTTTTCCTGTCCTCAGTTCTTTGGCTGGCAGGATATCCAAAAGACTATTTACTGAACTTACTGAACTCTAAAGTCCAACTAAAATTTGAGAATTATCTTAATTATTGACTCATTTTGTTTTTTAAATTTTTATATATTTATTTACATTATTGTTCATTTTATAACAATGGTTACTTCCCCACTCCCTCTCCAATATCACCATAGCCCGCCACATTTTTCCGTCTTTCTGTTCCCTCTCTGTGCCCCACACCCCCCGTAGGAGCTCTCTGGTTTATAATTGTCTGTTTTTCTATTGTTGTGTTGTGTTTTGTATTATAATAATAAGCTTTCTTCCTCCCTTGTCTTATTTGGTTCTCTTATATTCCTCCTATAAGTAAAGCCATCTGATATTTTTCTTTTTCCTTCTGACTTATTTCACTAAGCATAATCCCTTTCAGCTCCATCCATGTTGCTGCGAATGGCATGAGTTTATCTTTTTGATTGCTGAATAGTATTTCATTGTGTGTGTGTGTGTGTATGTGTACATCACATCTTCTTGATACAATCATCTAGTTTTGGGCATTTGAGTTGTTTCCAGGATTTACCTATTGTAAGTAGTGCTACAATAAATATAGAGGTGCATGTATATTTTCATTTTGATCAGTCAGAGAATGACTGACCTTCCGATCATGTTTCTTCCATATTTTAGTTTCTTTTAAACCTTCTAATTGGTACATCTGAAACCAGAGAATAATCTGAAACCAGAGAATAACAATCTGCTAACACAGGATGATATTCAAAAAGCTCCTCAGTCAGCATGGTGCTCTGGATGTAGGGACCTGAACTTCTTTGGCTGTTGGATGATTTGGTTCAGGAGCTGGTTCAGCTCCCTGAAGAGGGAGCTGAGGCTTCAGAGTGTAAGGGGTTGGGTCTGAATCAAGGCTGAAATTGATTGTTCACTCAGCATTTTAATTGTTGCTACCACTAAACTGGTTCATCCTGGTTAAATGTAAGGAGTGGTTTGCAGATTACAGGTCAAAGGGACTATAGTTATAGAAACTGAAAATCAATGGAATCAAAATTTTAAATGTCTGGTTTAACACCTGACCTAAACCAAAGATCCCTTCAGACTTCATCTGCCTCTCTGTAACCTCCTCTTCCCCTTTCTCTTGAGTAGCTCTCATTTGTTATTATAGCCCTTCTATTTAATACTATCTCATTACCTTTTTTCTTAAAATTGCCTTGCCCTCTTCTGCTTCTTCTTCTTCTTTTTTTTTTTTTTTTCTGCTTCTTTTTCTCATCACTGACATGTGGATCAGCTCCCTGGCCAGGGATCGAATGTGTGCTTTAATAGTTGCTGATATCTTCATAGTGCTGAAAGTTAACCCCTTGAGCCACCAGGGAGGCCCAAAACACAACCTATTTTTTACCTTGCCAAACCAATAAGCCAGGCTTGTTTCCATAAATAACCTTATTGTATTGTTCAGTTAAGATCAGGAGTTTAGTCGTTGAGCTGTTCTCTGGGTCTTCCATCTGCACTGTCTACCCTTGTGCCACATTTTCACAACCTTGGACAAGCCTGAAAAGGACAGTCATAGCCCTTTCACTTAAAGCAGCCTAATCAATGAAGCTTAGTCAGCAGATTTCAAGGAGTACTGCCAAGCCTAGTAGATGACTTGCACAAAAATAGCCATATCTGCCATAG